CTCATCCTCCTAATACACAATACATGTAATACATTTTATTGTTCAAAAGAACAGAGTGAAACGCTTTACCAGAAATGCCATATTTAAAAATACACTTTTTGTCGATTGTAAGTAACAGCTATTTAGCCATTAGCTAAATTGAATGTCGCAATTCATAATTAACGCTTTTTTCGGTATCGGTTGTATTATTCAGCAGACAATGCTTATCCGCTGAGGCTATTCAATAATTCGACCACATGAACGTCGTGTATTTGGAGGGTTTCCAAGGGATCATAAACGAAGATAGTGGGAGTTTAAAGTAGTATCACTGTCAATGTACCCGTACAAAAGTCTTCTAGTCTTCTGAATTGGCAAACTATTGCAATGAATTTTATATCGTCGCTTTAAATTGCTTCAAATATAGATTTTGTGTGTTTTTCTTTTGTAGAATTACATGGATAAAAAGTCGAACTAAAGACTGTTTTGTATACAGTATACACTTCATTAAAGTATGTTGCAAATGCGCGCGTGATCTCATCCTATACAAAAGTATTTTGTGTTTTATTTTATAAATAATTTATGATCGGTTGAACTGGTGAATTAAGAACATAAAAAGTGTTATTTTGATGTCGTATATGTACATGTATGATTGGATTGATGTAATTAGTTAACTGTTTAAAAAATAGAAAAAAAAATATTAATTTACTTATAACGTTAATAACTCAACCTTATTAGGTCTCTTAGAAACGCTGTTTTAAATCGTAGAGGTAAAAAGTTCAAATTGTTACGATACTCTAAAATTATCAATAGACATTACGTCACTGTAGTTGTTATTTTTATTACGTGACGTCACTCGTTCCCCTTTAGAAGTTCTCGGATATCGCGATTACAGGAACTACGATGAACAGTTCCACGTGGTCGTCTGCTAGGACGCAGATTCAGCAGATTCAGGACTGTCTAGGATGGTGGATGGTACTGGACATACTTCGTAATTCGATAAGCAATGTCTGCGAGGCTGACTTATTCTTGTTGGAGGACTTATAGATGAACAGCGGAGTAAATTTTGTCGGTATTGTGTATTTGTTTGTAACTGTGTTTGTTGACTATTTGTTATTACAACTGTATTTGTTAATAATAAAAATTTGTTAAAGATTTCATTTTAGCCCGTGTGTTTTTGTAAGTGTGTCACATTTGTAAGTGTGTATATCCGGCGCACGTTACAAAATATACATATTTTCTCGCAAATTACCAAGACAACAAAATTGCTGAGTGAAAAAATACTTTCATGGAAAAACATAAACACTTTGATCTTATAGACACCAAACATGATAAAAAGGGTAGTAATTTTTGTGCAGAGAAAACACAGCATGTGGAACCTAAAAATGGTGCATCTCTTTTAATTTTCTGTATCGTCGAGCTTCTTGTAATTGCTGTAATACTAGTATTCTTATTTCTGTACATAAGTATCGTTTTATGTCATTACAGAGCTCTTTTAATATGTACATATATCAAATATAATATGTGCAAAAGCGACATGATGTGAAATTTAGTGTTTGATAATACATATTTTAATTTTTTTGTGCGGTTAACCTTGGAATTTCCTATCCTTTTGCTATCAAGAGCATGTTGCTATACCATGATTAAAAATTGTTTTATGGAAAATAAAGACCACTAATATTTTATCTTCCAGGTTTTCCTCATCATTATGACCGATTTCAGTATTGCAAACACAATCAATTTTCTTCAATAACCGAACACGGATGAAATTGATGAAAGATTTTAAATAAAGTTTACTGGCTAATGAAATAAATTAGAGAAACAATGCAAGATAAAGACATATAAATACGCTTTAACAGGTACTTGAACAGTATTCGAGAGGGAATATGAGGGAATATGTACAAAACTGAAATATTTTTGAAAAACATATTTACTTTTGCTTATAACATAATTGTTCATCATATGGAATAAGTGTTCAACAGCAAACAGATCTTTTATTCCGTAATTTTCTTTCCAAGAAACTCCTTATGTTTAAGAACAAAATACAAAGTCTGATCAAAAAGCATGTCTAAAGTCGAAAAATCTAAATCTTTGTCAATTAAATCAATTTGTGCAAATCAGGAGATAAAAAAAGAACATGTACATGAATTACTGTTTTAGACGAAGAAGACCATGGAGATATACTGATTATTCATTGACATTATGCGTAAAAAGGCTATTTTACTGCTCAACTGGTAGAAACTAATTCCAATGTAATTTTCAGCTACATGACAGCTGACAAACATGTGCATGAAATGTATGTAGATAACAAACAGTATTTACGAGTAAGTCAAATATTCTCTGCTTCATTTTTGTAATGTTTGATAAACTTTTGAGATTAAATATTGTTTGTTACCTCATTATATTTCTCAATACAACATTGGAGCTGAGCAAACACGGACCTATGAAAATATCAGAGGTGGGATCAGAGGCCATGGAGGAGTCAGCATTCCCTACCAGTGATCATGTCCACCGTGTGCTCCTTATTATGATCAGGAAACAGAGATAAAATGTGTATGATAGTCTTATAAAAAGTTTGCAGGAATTACGTGTATTCAATGTTTGGGTTTTTTTATTTTCTGCAAAACTCCTTTGTAATTCACCTCAAAAACTTGATATGGGATTAAGAGAAATATAATTTACTTAATAAAAAATTCTTGTGTTCAACAGTTGAGACTTGAAAAAGTGTTAATGGATATCACGGACTTTTGATTTCTATCTTGTTTTATTAACGGAATTTCTTGAAAAACTAGAGGCACTGTGAGCAATTAGCTTACTAAATGATACTCCCGCCTTCCATATGAATATAATGGCAGTGTCCATGTTTTGCTCTGGAAAATCAAAAATATATGTCAGATCAAAGAGTAATATAGGAGGTGCATAATTGCAATATGTATTTAAGAATCTGTGAAAGTTTCATAAAATTTCCTTCAATGGTATGAGAGGAGTTGCAGATAAGAGATTGGTACCCCAAAGCGTAACAGACAGACAGACGGACGTACAGACGGACGAACGGACAGACGGACGGATGGAAATACCGATTACTATATACCCCATCACTTTTCAAGAGGGGGTATAAAAATGTGAGGTATTCAAAGCATGCAGTTGTGATAAAAAAGAATTAATGAGATAACAAAAATCAAAGTCGTTAATTCAAGAATTAATAAATCATGGATTAAAAAATCAAAGCTAATACTTCTTATACAGAAACTAAACAATGGATGCAATCTTGTAATAATTACAATGATTAATATCGTTTAAATAAATGAAAACATTAATTTACTTATTCCTTACGTAATTGAGAAATTATTTGACAAGTTATTCAAATGATATTTTCAGCAGATGATATATTTGGAGCAGAGTTTGATCCTTTTATATTGAAGTAGAGGTTGTGTCAGAATTCTATGAAACACAATTGTATATTAAAAAGTTACATACAAATAGAATAGAAGGAAATGTTGTATCAAAATAGTGGTCGTCTAATCAAATAATGCTTTTGTTAGCTACATTGGAAATTTCATTTACCATAAAATATATTTTAAAATTATACTTTTTTATGAGAACTTTGAATATTTGATTTACTGTAATAAAAACTTTACTAATTAAAAACATTTTATTCCCTTTGCTAAAAAACATTGAACTTTTATATACAAAAGTAAAACCTATGATACTTTGATTTACTATATTGTAATACTGTTGGAATTTTGTTTGTATGTTATAATTAAGTTCTTATTTCTGATATTTTATGGTCATTTATGGGTTTTTTTTAATTTCTTAATCTCGATTTCATTAATAAAGCAAATGTATTTGTACAACACTGATGCTCCTGAATCTGCAGCTCACAGGGAAGATGTAAGGTAATTTCTAAAATGTAAGTCAGGTAGATGAACAGTAAGAAAAAAACCTTAATATAAACCATTCAAATATTTTCCTACAGGCAAACATTTTTTTTTCAAAATAGGTCAAAAAAATTAAGCTCAATGGTCAATGCTCCAAAAATTTAGCAGTAAATAGTAAATTTTGGCTGAATAGTGTCTATCTTCATTTTTGGCTCGGCTCACATTTACATGTTTTCCACTAGGTGATCAGAGTTTTGACGCCCTTCACGGAGATAAAAAAAAAAACTAAAGAAAAAAGCATGCTATATTTGGTTCTGAAGAAAAAATATCGCAGTTAACAGGGGTAATAAAAACTTTGCCACACTGTGCCAGTGCATCTCCTCTGAAAGTGTAAATGAATGGGAATCGGATGGTGGTACTCTATGTTGTCGGAGTTGGTTATTATTCCATGGGTAAAACATTATTTCCGAAATACTGTAAATGTATTATATTTGGCGTGTACGATATTTGGCGGAAACTGACTTTTGAACAACTTAGCGTAGATTTGATTTAGCGCATTTCTTAATGTTCTTATTTAGAAGTATATGTGCAAGACATTTGGCGTTGTACTTGAATTAGCGGAAGCTTCTTTCCGCCAAAGGCGCTAAAAAGAATACACAGCCAAATATAATACGTTTACAGTAAATGCATGCAGCTGCAGCGTTGCCCAATTTCCTTTTTCCCCTTTGGTTGATATATAAAAAATTAACTGAAATGATATTTTTCATAATATTTATTATGGTTTCCAGATTTACAATTCAGCAGGAAGTTTAAATGTATGGTTAATTCTACCATATAAAGCTTTCTAGATCATTTGCAGTTGGCGTGCTGCTAAATATATTCCTACGAAATATCTATCATACAAGGAACAAAAATGCACACTATGTTTAAAGCATTTTTTCGAAACTATATTATGTTATTTTTGCAACATTTACTTATGTCTTCAACTGAAATTGTATTTTTGATGAACATTACAGGTAAGTAGCTTCATTGGAAATTCTCTCTCTCTCTCTCTCTCTCTCTCTCTCTCTCTCTCCAGAAATGAAAAAAAGTAGATAAAAATATCAAGGTGATCTGTTCTTCATTAATTTATTTTTATTATTTTAGGTTGTAGTGTGGGGTATTTTGGATTGAAATGTGAATTACCCTGTCGATATCCAAACTATGGAAATGGTTGCCAGTCAGAGTGTTTGTGTGTTCAGCAACTTTGCGATCACATAAATGGATGTAAAGGTATAGAAATATACATGTAACATCTAAAAATTTGGAGAATGAAATAAGGGTACATATAAATCAATACTTTAAATCTTGTTTCACATGATAAATTCAGTCAATTTAAAATCTGATAGAAATGCTGAAAATGGGTTTTCTCGCAAAATAGGAAATTCAAATACTTTGCTCTGCAAGGAAAATCTAGGATTATTATGCCTGTTTAAAATGATGGTAAGATAAGTAATTTTGTTTAAAGACTCAAATGATAACTAATAAATATAGCCTTCATTGCATATTCCAATGATGTTCAATATGTTATTAAGAGTCAAAATCAGCAAGCATCGAGCATTTAGTTAAAAAATGTGAAAAGTGGCATAGAAACAGATTTGGTTAAAACTCGTATATAAATTTTCAGAACAAAGGGTATGATAGAAAAAAGCAAGCAAAAAATAATTTTCCGCATTGTTGCTATGGAAACCACGCGCCTTTCAGATAGCGTGTTTTGTACTTTATCATGACACTTGAATTTATGGTTAAACAAATACTTTTTTTTATTACAAGTCATTAAAAAAAACTTTTTAAATTATTATTTTATTTATATAAATTTATTTATTTTAGCAACTGTTGATTTTTGAAATTTTCTTCACCTTTTGATAAATATAACAAGTTTTTGGAGGTTTATTTTGCTTTAAAAAACAGCAAATTTGAAGTACTTTATAAGAAATCTACAACCACATTAAAGCTTATCAACATAAAATATTTATTAAACAGTATTTGTTCTAGAAGAATCAAGAAAAAAATCTGCAGGCAACTTAAGCATTTATAAATGATAACTGATTTAAATCCATAATTTTCTGTAACTTTTGCTTCAAATTATCTCCCTTTGGTATAGCTTTCTAACATAGGAGGGATAAACGGTAGTTTGCTTACATTGTTTTCAATAACAATGCACAGAAGACTAGCAGAAATTACAAACTTGGAGCAGTCTGAGCCTCAGTTTTGGCGTTTTCATGAGTCTTAATTACGGTGAGTGATTGAAATTTTTACAATTTACCATTACAACAGTTACTGAAGAATGTATAGCATAAATTAACCATGCAGAAAATATCTAACACTTGGCAGGTGTTCTTGCACATTTTAAATTTAATTCTGATTGATAAATTATGCTAGCATTACTTTAGTATTTTATAACAAAAAAGAAAAGATTATGCATGGCCTGAGGAACCAGGAGGAGGGGTATGCCCCCCCCCCCAAAAAAAAAAATAGCCGATATTAAAGCAAATGAAATTAAATCCCCCAACTATGATCACATTGATCAGTCACATAACTGTATCCCAAATAGGCAAATTATAATTTTGTTTAATTTTAATTTGTTGTATTCACGGTATGTATGTAACCAAAGTCACTCACCACTGTCACAATCTAAAATGATTATAACTGATAGTCTGGTAAATAAAATTTCTGTATAGAAGATATCTTTATTTACCATTTAAGATAATACCTGCTTTTTACATGAAAAATTATGAATTTATGAAAACCACCACTATATGAAATATTTGTAAAATGGAACGACATTTGTTATGGCGTCCGTAAAAAAAGAAAAAGGGGCAGGGGTTAACTTTGTACTTAATATATTTTAGTTTAGGAAAGGGGATTACCTTGGAAGTATTGTGAATTTGTGATACAGACAAGTGTATTATGTAGTGGTCTAGTGGTAACTGAATTGTATATAATTATATCACAGTAAAATAATTAATTAAAAAAAAAATAACTTTTTGCTAATGTCATCCAGTGTTTACTAATAAAAGAAAATTCAAATTCAGCTAATATTTTCTCCGGTACCACTGAACTAATTTAAGTCAACTAGGTTGAAATGATAAGCATCAATATCTATAAAGCAGGTAAATTTATGAAATGAATATCTCCATTTTTTCGGGGGGGAGGGGGTATTGGAAAGAAATAAAAAACATAATTTAGAGTTTTTACAAAATGCATAGAATCATGCAGTTGACCTTTTAATTGCAAATTTTTAAATTTAAAGAATATCTAAGATCAATACGGTCTCAACTTTGTGTTGTATACTTCTGTTTATAGAATGAAATTCGGCACTTTGAAGCCAAACTCGGAAAGAAACAGAAACATAATCGGATGAGCTGATATAGAATTAGACAGGAAAAACATGTAAATAATACATTTAGTAAAAACGTTAACTTTTTAAAATAAAATGATAAATCATTGAGATTTCTTGTAATTTAATTGATTCCAACAAACATGCTTTGCATTCATCATCATTGCTCAATCCCAACTAGAAATGGTTCCAAGTATAAAAAGGCAAAGCTGTATAATATTATTACATTTTAATTTAATCACTTTTTCAGATTATGAGAATACATTATTACAGTACAGACCATTGATGCTGGAAAAGAGTGGATAGTGTTACCGGAGACTCGGGGATCCAGAAAATAGATCCATAAATTGTACAGTGTATTCATGAAAGTGGATCAAATAAAAATGTTTAATCGAAAATTAACATTCTTGGTTTGTCTGTTAGCATTTTTTGCTGATGTAAATCTAATAACTATCAATTTTTGGCATGCAGATTCATAATTAGATAGTAGAAGAATCTGAAACATATCTTTATATTCTGCATTATGAAGTATCATAATTAAAACAAGGTCAATATCAAATGATCAATCAATTAATTGCAAAACTGACAAAATGTTTTTTGTGAAAAAAGAAAGAGGGCTAGTTTAAAGTCAGATGACACGTTCCTCAAATTTATGTTTTGTATCTCTAGGTATTATATAAAAAAAATATTTATATTTGTCATTCTCTTCTGATTTGGTTTTACTTTAAAATTATGTGAGCTGTAATAGTGACTCTTTCTCATAAACTAAAATTATTATGAGCAAGCTCATAAAATGATATCAACCCTCCTGGTATAACATAAAATGTTTTTTTTTATTACAAAAAAGGTCCAAACCTTTTTAACATTTTGCTATTGCAGATTTACATACCCAAATGACTTTGACATATACTCAAGTCATAGGCAGTAAAACCTTTGTGTAGAACACAAACTTCCAATTTCTCTGCAGTCAAAGTTAAATATATAAATGTACCAAACTCATATAGAACACTTTTACTGCAGTGACCTTGAAAAAATTATGTCGTTGAGCCAAGGTCAAACGTGTCCAAATGAATTTTTGGTCAAGGTCATGACAAACCCACAGCTCAAATAATAATCCCCGAGATGAAACTTCAAGTCTTTTCATTAGATTGATTGATTGATTGTATATTGTTTAACGTCCCTCTCGAGAATATTTCACTCAAATGGAGACGCCACCACTTGCCGGTGGAGGGCTTCAAATTTTGTCCTATGCTCGGCACTCAGGGCCTTCGAGCAGTGAGGGATCTTTTTCGTGCCAACACCTTCTGCGACACGGGGCTTCGGTTTATACGGTCTCATCCGAAGGACCGGTCTCCACGTCCCGCAGTGGGATTCGAACTCGCGACGTAAGGATTGACTCCTTACTTCTCGACTCTAGAGCAGACGCTCTAACCACTGCGCCACGCGGGCGACTCTTTTCATTAGAATACTCAGCATTACAGAATGGGAAAAGATTGCACTATTCTTCTACCAATGACCTTGAACTTGTGCAAATGACCTTGGGTAAAGTTTTGGACACATCTCCAGATCATAAGCAATCTTAATATCAAGTATGAACTTTCAGTGGCGCTTCATTGAAATGTAATGGACAAGTCAAAATTTTACATACATATGGAAATGTGACAAGGTGCTTCCTAAAACGCCCCCCCCCCCCTCTTTTATTTCAAAGTTTCGTTTGTGAGGAATATAAATTCCTTTTGAAATTTAATGTGCATTTATTTATCAACAATAGTAGAATTATGAGATGCTTTGATCAGACCAATATGACCAATATAATGGACACTGTACATGTATTCAAATTACCCCCACCCCTTCAAAAAAGCTTATAAATGCCAGATAATCACACATTTTAACCATTTGTAACTTTTTTCTATTAAAGTTGCCTGCAAATTTTATTGTTTAGATATGACATATAGATAACCCCTAACAAGATCACAGCATTCATTTTTCCAGCTGTGGTTGTAGGTTTTGTGTATATAGTGATAAACATATGTAATTTTTTAAAAAAATAATAAGCATTGACGCCATGTTCTTTTCCCGTTGTCATGACAACAATATCACTACAGAAATTTTGTCTTTCTTTTTTTTAAAGAATAAAGTAATTTCATCTTTCAACAAATAAAGTAACCAAAATACCTTATCTTACCACGTTCAGAAAACATGTTCATAGAAAAATGTCTAAAAATCATTGATTTTCATAAGGGTTTATGAGCCCGTTGCTAAGGAAATGAATTGCCTTGGATACCAGTCCCTTCATACGTTCAAAAAAAAATTTAATTGTGTTTTAGCACTAGGTAGGTCATGATCAAAATCTTTCATATAACAAAAGCTTTTGAAAAAATAAAATTTTGACTTTCCATTCAATGCTCGATGCTTGCTGATTTTCACTCTTAAAAAGGACTTCTTTTAATTCTGATAGCATGGAAGATTTTTCGTCCTTTACAGTAAATTGTCTGGGAAGAACATTTATTATATACCCATCAATTTCATTGTTTTTGTTACTGTTAATTTTACCGAGTTTTGATCCGATTTTCCGGATCACCACACTGTGGTTTTCTGAATCCATATCACCACTCTCTGAAACTGATGACGTAGTACGCAAAAACATGACGTTATTTTTCTTGCACGTTAAAAAGTCCCTTGTTATTATGCTTTATTTTATGAATAAATATTATACAATTGATCTCTAAAGTTTTATTCTGATATATTTAGCTAGTTATAAGGGGGTATATAATAAATCTATCATTATAACAGTAACTTGATCCGAAGAGCCGTATCACATCCCGATGACTGGCGCGGATCATCAGATAAAACTCGACGCTTGGCGTCTCGTTAGATCTGATGATCCGCGCCTGTCAACTCGACGTGATACGACCCTTCGGATCAAGTTACTGTTATAATAATATATATGTATGAAATGTCTTTTTTTCCAGAGTGTCCACCCGGTTTCGTAGGTGAGTCATGTCAACAAAATTGCTCATATCCGCGTTATGGTGAAAATTGCCAGTTAGAATGTAAATGCAGAGAAGAACAGTGTGATTTTGTTACTGGTTGTAAAGGTGAGGGAAACAAAATGTTTTTAAAATAAAGGTAAGAATCCCCAATAAGATGTTATGTATTAAAGGTATTCTGAGTGATGTGCAGGTGGTACCAAATAACAATGAAGTTTTGTGTTGTCTGAGAACTATTGTAAACTCTTACATAAATTTTCCTTTATCTAGATATTGGTAGAAATTTAGAGAATCACACAATATTAAACAAAATATATGGAGTATAAGTCTGTCATGAGAATTCCATATGTTTTATATTCCATTTGCAACACTTCATAAAAAGCGCGAACCCAAGCAGAAGATAAATTTTACCAGAAGGTGACACTGTTTCAAAGTATACGTATGCGTGTATTACTATTTCTTTATCCTTAAAAACTAGTTTTAAGGAGATAATTTAAAACAAGGAATTTTCGATAAAAGAATTAATTGGTTTTTTTTCAGGTAGGGAAGACAACTGCACATCTACGGAAAGATACAGAAATTCAAACGCACTCCTTTCTAGCATTATTGCTCTTAGTTTTATAGCACTCATTCAGTTTATTTTTTATCTGTATTTTTCAATTTTCTACAAACCTCGGTTGTTGTACATCACAAGGTTTTGATATTAGTCGCTAATCTTAAATGTAATTAACTTAATAATTAAGTTGAAGGATATATGATACAAACAAATTTTTGTCATAACTATTGCAAATAACAACCTGAGTCATGTTTTAATGAGTAAAATGAATACGTTTCACGAGTTGTTTTTCACTTTTCATTCAAATTTACACAAAAATGGAATTTGAATTGAAATATAATTGTATGGCTTAGTAAGAATAGATACAGAAAGGTAGAATTTTGAACATCATAGAATGTTTACAAGATCTTAATTTTTTTGAAAATTATTAGTTGTATCATTTGCAACAAAAATAAACCCAGAAATATATACACATCCAGGTATCCATTTTTTTTGTATGAATGATCTGTCATTAATTGTGCTTGAACGTTATGCGGTGGTTACTTCTTAAGGTAAGTCACTCCTGAAATTTGTTATATCAAGGATTTGTTGAGAAGTATATTTTGGATAAGTACTCATAAAGTGTAACTCAAAATCGCAAAGAAAATAGGGGGTCAGTGTGCATCCTACTGATCTATGGTACATTTAAGTTGACCTTTTTGCACTTAAATTTCATCTCTTTGGTTAATTACTTTAACCCTTATTATATTTGATTGTAAGCATGGCAATAAATATAATCTTATTTTACGTAAAATAGTTTGAATAATATTTATCATTAACCAAATATTGCAAATTAATGCGCGTAAATTATTGTGTGACCTTTTTGCACTAAAAAATAACATATTTTGGATATTTAAAAACTTAATAGGCAATCAAAAATTTTCTTATATCAAACTTTTTACGACTTAAGTGCTGATCAGTCACAAGTATCGAGTACTTTAAAATAATGAAAGAAAAAGTTGGGGTCAATTTTGATGTTAAATTTGAAATATTGGTCAAAATTTGTGATTTTCAGGCAAAAAATGGTGTAAATTTGACCTTGACTTCTTTAATATATTTTCATTTTTTGGAAAAGTTTGTTGAGGGAAGGTGTAAAACTTAGTCTAAAAATATAAATTAAGACCTATATTGAATTTTTTTAGCAATATCAAAACGGAAAATATTCTCCGAGTAAAAGTATGTGTGGCTAAATTTCCATTACATTAAATTTAATAAATGTGCAGATTTGCACAATTTTCTGCTAAATATCCTTCCACCAAAAGAAATAGTCCCTCGTAAATCTTGCTTCTTTATAGATTTTTGAGCAGTTTTTTCATTGAATGTTAAAAAATTTACATTGTTGAATTTAAATATGTTATAAAAATTGAATTTTAATAAGTAGTTTTGAAGTAAAAGCTTCTGCGTGAACTTTTCTAAAAAGCTGACGAGTGACTTACCTTAAGAATATTCAATATCAAAGTCCAATAAACAATAGGAGCAGAGAAACAAGGACCTCCGAAACATCAGAGGTGGGATAAGGTGCCATGGAGGAGTAGCATTCCCTGCTAAATAGTCACACCCGCCGTTTGCTCCTTGTCATGATCGGGAAATAACGGAAAAATCCGTCCCCAATTCAGGGTATATATAATGGACAAAAAATTAGTATGAAAGACGTCAGTCACCAACAACTCAATCGTAAATTGTATTTGCTGACAAGGGCAATGTATCGGCCATAGAACTGTTCTAATAAAACATGGGAAATCTATTAGACACTAAAAATAACAGAATTAATATAGATAATAGCATTTGTTTTCCCTTCAGCTAAAGATAATATTTCATCTCCTACTTAGCTATAAACCATATCATGATGATTCACAAAGATGAATACTTAATGAGATTTTATTGGTTTTATTCATGTTCAAATTTTTTTTCATCTTTTCATCATCTTGGAAATAAAGTCAGGTTCACATATCCTGTGTTTGGAAACAATGTTTGAGGAATAATTTTCAAATAAAATACAAGGTGTGAATTTACATTTGAAATATGGTGGAAAACAAAACCTGGCTAATTTGTATTTAAAAACATAAACTGATGTTAACGTCTATACCTTTTTTGGAAATTATTTGTTTAATAAACATTCATGTTTTTTAGCAAATTCATAATCCGCTAAACGTCAAATAGTTGTTGATTTTCAATATCCATAAACTATGATACAACCCTCTATTCAATGAATCTAGATAATTTTTCTTTTTAATAAATAACCTTTTATATCATGAAAGAGACAGAGTGAAGTTTGTTGCACCTATGATGAAGAGAACTTCGTGAATAATATGTTTATAGAACTACCGATGCTCATGACTACGTCTATGTGTGCGTAGTTTAAAACTTCCATCACACTTATATCAGAACACTCTGAACTTAATTGTTTCAAATCCACTTTTGACATTTAAATCAATATGGAAAGACCGTTTTTAGTTTCTTAATCCAGTGTATGGAAATGTGTTCTCAATGATGGGCTACGAATATGACTGTAGATCTTTTATAGAGTTAATTTCTAATTTCATCTTCAGAATTTGTATTGCTAATGGGTTTTGTTTTGATACATGAAGATGACTGTTCTTTATCTTAATATTTTTCATTTATTGACAAAGTAGATTGTTTACGTAAATTGAATTGTTTGTAGAGAAACCATCAGTCACTTTCGTTAAAATCTTTGTTCAAATATTTTATTTCTAGGTGGAACCTTGGTTTCATCAATGTACCTAGGTATCTACGGGTGTTCATGATTTCTATTTAGATAGAATTTTAATTTTATTTTTAAAATGTATTTTACCATATAAGAAAATGCTTTAAATTTATACCAGTAATAGAAAATGCTTTCGATTTATCGACTAAAATAATAACTTCCTGTAAGCGAAACTTGTATAAAAATATTAATATTAAATGGACACGGACATGATGACAATATTATTTTGATTTATACGTAAATGTCACAATACGATTTTATTGCTTAAAAATTAAGTATAAATTAGCTTTCGAAAATCCAACAGATATATAGCACTTGTTCAAAAATATTGTTATTGTTTGATTTTATGTAACATATGATTGTAACGTTTGTTTCCAAAACCAAGTTATTCCATCTGAAAATTAATAACTATAGACTATTTATATAAAATGACAATGGTTTTTGATAATAAAATTGGCTCGAATTTCCATATCAAACCAGTAAGATGTCATCTTTGACTCAAAATTTATGAAATAGTTCAGGTATCTTTTTGACATTGCAGATCTAGGTGAATGTATTGTGTTGTTCAGAGTTAAGTAATCTGTTAGTTACTACGCATATAATTCACGAAATCATCTATTTTCATTTGTGCCTCCAATAACAAGAATCAACCTACATATTGAAAAACGACAATTATTTAGGTTCTTTCTGACTGTCTTCAGACATATATTGGGTTGATCAACCGCATAGACGGTGAGGTTTCTCAAAGTGCGAGAGATACAAAACACAAGACTCATAGCAACATTCTATAAAATAATTATTACAAGGACGAAAAATAGAAAATGCTTAAAATCGTCTTGAAAGGACGCTAATCTATAAAACGAATTAAAAAAAATGATTGCATCTTTCTACAAAACGGTTATAAAGTAAATTATTATGTAGCTTTAATATTCCAAGATTGACAGGAAATTAAAATGTTTGTCCAACAACATATAACAGCATAAAAGCATCTCGTAATCAGTTGCAGTCATTGTAGTCCTAGATTTGGTTGGAATAATAATGAAAAAAATAAGGCAATATGCATGAAATATTATTTAGAAGCTGTTAAATATTATTGCAATTTATTTAAATTTAAATTCAAAGTCTTGAATTTAAATCACAATAACATTAGTAGGGATGTATAGAAAATCACAAATGTAGGCTGACCCCTACAATTGTATGGCTTTGCTCTTTATATATTCATGGATTGATTTCAGATGTAAAATGTGTTGAATTGTATAGTTTAAATATCAATTAAAAATTTGAGATGAAATTTTTTGTTTTATTTGATTCTTTTTTTTTTTACATTTTACCGGGGCCCATAAGTGCACAGCAATGAATTCACGTTTCATTGTCTGTTTAAATTTCAGACAAACGTTGAAAACTACAATTTCTGACTTTTTAAAACAACTGTTACGCTGTCGTTTTTACTCATTTTTTAAAACAATGGGTGTCGATTGAGTACTAAATGTTTGAGTTTTTTACTGTCTTTTTTTTTCTTAAAAGCAGTGTGAACTACCCTCAAAATGATTTGCTATGTTTCTGAATGTCAATCAAACATTATCTGTGATAATTTCTCGAATTTCGACAAACAGTATATTTGCAGGACGGTACCCATTTTTGAAGCCCATTATATCATTTCTGTTCATTGAAATCCACTTGCTCACGTGTCTATAAAACAGATATTGGTTGCTGTAAATTTCCCATATTTCAGTGAATATTTCTTTGGGATTACAGCAGCTTTAATGAAACGTTTAAGTTCACTCTAGT